ATAAATAATTGTCCAATACTTTAAATTCATTTACTCAAAATAAATTATTTAAAGTTTTAATAAATATTTTATTTTCTTATTGTTAAAATGTTTATCATGTATCATGTAATTTAAATTATATCATATATACATGACATCTCATTATTTTTTGATATAATATTTTTTAATTAAAAAATTAAATTATACAACTTAAAAAATTAAATTATACAACTCCAATAACTTATAAATCTCTACCCTTATATAATATTCAAATTATGTACAAATTAAAACTATTATACATTGTACCTTATATACTTATCTTTTGTAGTTTAACTACATAATTATATTCTTAAATTCATTTACATTTTTTTTTAAAATAATCCATATTATATATTTACGTTGAATTTTTAAAAACTTTAAAAATAATCCATATTATATATTTAGTGAATTTTTAAAAACATCAAATTACACGTCTATATATATAAAATAATTATTTTAAAATTTATTAATCATTAAGTTTCAACTTGATCAGTTTTATTTTCATCGTAAATTATGTTTTAAAATTTTTAAAAATAAACTTTTATGCACTCATCTAGCTTTTGAATAAAATTTATTTAGTGTAGAATTTATATAATGTAAAGCCCACGTATCATGAATTTATAACCTTCAATCTGTAAATTGAAATATAGAATTTGTAATTAATATATTTTACAAGTTTTTTAATTAAAAGAAATTTATGCCTATAATAATTTACCGATTCTTTATACTTGTAAAATTGCTTTTATATGATATTTTATGTACACGATTCAAATGATAAGCAGTAATTTTATTTTTAAAAATATTAATAGCACTAGAAGAAAAATTTTATGTATATGAATTTGAATTCTAATTTTTTCCTAAATAATTTTATATTTAGCGTTAGATAATATTTTATATAATACGTTATGGGATAGAAAATAGATATGGATAAAGAAAAGATAAAGTTATGAAATATATAGATAAAGAATGGAGCAACAAGTTGAGTAACCCATTACAGTAGGTTTTTTTATACATGTGTCAATTACTGAGGATTCTGTATCAATATAGAATAATTACTATATGCACAGTAGTAAAGCCTATTATTATTATTATTGTTGCTAATTAAAAAATAATAAGTAAAATAAAACAATAATCTATATAATATATAAAAATAGGAAAATCTACATTAGATGATAGCCTAGTGTAAGTATTCGAAATTGCTACGTGTAATGAGAAGATAACTTGTTTTATGTTTTTAAATAAGGTGTTTATTAGAATAATATCTATAAAAAAGATTATCTTTAGCATTAATATATTAATATAAATTTACTTTTATTACAAAACAATTAACAAGTAATCTACACGCTTAAAAGTGTGAATAAATAATATATTATTATTAAATAAATAATATTAAATCATTAAAAATATAAATTGGAACGTATGGATACGATAATTTTTTAAAAATAAGATATTCACACGCTTAGAATACACTACACTAAATAAGTAATATATTAATATTTCAAATAAATAAACAATCATTTGTAATAAATTATAAACATAAAATAGAAAAATTAATTTCTTATTTCAATGATATAAAAACAAATTTAAAAAAAAATTTCATTTTTTATTGGTAATTAAAAGAAAACTTTAGTTGATTAGCTTGGTGTATGGAGTAATCTTATATACCAGGAGCTAGGTTGCATGGACACGGGACGCGAAATATAAGAATACACATGATACAATAATTTTTAAATAAGTAAAACATCCGCATGCTTAGGACACACTACACTAAATAAGTAATATATTAATATTTCAAAAAAAAAACACACATTTATAATAAATCATAAATATAAAAATAAAAAAAATACTTAATTTATTATTTGAATATAATTTGTTAAATTTTAAAAATTATTATCACTATTGAAATATACATTAATAGTGTGTGTGAATTTTTTGATATAGATTATACCTTACATGACTTTTTCTATTATTAGTGAAAGGTTTTACATGATACTTAAGAAAACATATCTTAATTAGGGATGACAATTTTATCCGACCCAGCTGGTACCCGATCAAATCCAATCTGATTTTGGCAGATTTGGGTAGTGATAAACGGGTTTGGGAGGCGTTTAGGTAGTATTTTTACTACAAGTATCGAGTTTAAGGACTCGGATACCTGGTACCCATTACCCATTTAATTAATATTTCAAAAATATTTAAAATAATTATTTTTCTAAAGCAAATTATATATATATATACTTTTTTAATTATAATTAATGCTATAATTTAAAGCATTTATATATATATATACTTTTTTAATTATAATTAATGCTATATAATTATATTATATTTTATATGTTATATGTTTTTTTATTAAATCAAAATAATTTTTTTATTAAATCAAAATAATAGTTTTATAATTTTTACTTATTTTTATTTTTTAAAAATAAAAAAATATTTTTAATGTAAACGGGTATTTAAACAGGTGACTATAATCAAGTTTGGGATGAGTTCAGTTATTGAAGGTGAATTTCTAAACAGGTTCGGGTACCTAATTTCTAATCGGGTATTTAAACAGGTTTGGATATTTGTAATGCATTTTGTGATCATTTTTTATTTTTAAATGATGTATATAAATGATTATTTCATCTTTTAATGTTGCTCCGCTATCGCACGGGTGCTAACACTGGTACTATAATAAAATTCAGATAGTTATAATGGGATGAATAAAGAAATAAAATATGCATATATTTTTTTTACCTTAAAAGAATAGTGTGTATATTTATTTAGTAAGGAAACCACTTAATTAAGGAAAAGAATAATACTTAAATAACAAGGAAAGGAATAAGCCAATAATAACTCATCTCCATTAATGCAAATTCATCAAAATTGAATAAAGAGGAAAGCCCAGGAGAGAGAAAGATCGAATTTTAAAAGTAAGTCAGAACTTTGATCATCGATTGGAGTCCGATCACTGGGATGTGAGTGTCACCGCGGCACCGGGTGAGGTGTCTCGGTGAACCGCTTCAGGTGAGGGTGGTACGGCGACCTCTGATGACAGATGAATCTGCACGCTCCATCTTTCTCTCTCCTCCGATTTTGTTTCTTTTTTTTTTTTATTTCTTCTGATTTGAGTTGAACTGTAGCAATTACTCAAACTGGTTCGTTGGTTTTCATTCGATTTGTACTGATTATCACGGTTTTTCAATATGGGAGTTTGACTATCTAAATCGGATCAAATCACTATTCGATTTTTGATTAAATCGGTCGAACCGGTCGGTCAAGTTTTTAGAACCATGGTTTGGATAGCGAAGGTGCCTCCTTCTATTTAGCCTTTTATTTTAGCTGAAATTGTGTTGGTGTACTAAATGTCAGTTTTTGAAACATATTTTTTAAAAAATGTCAGCTTAACTTTGAGATTTTAATTATTGTTATTTACGGTATATATTTACTATTATGTCCTTTTTATTTGTTAGGGCGCTATAAAACAAAATATTTCAATGTTTTATTTTTTTTTCACGTTTCTTTTTTTTTTTTCCAGTGTTTCCTTCTTTCGTTTCCTCTTTTTTTTTTTTTTTTTTTTTTTTTTTTTTTTTTTTTTTTTTTTTTTTTTTTTTTTTTTTTTTTTTTTTTTTTTTTTTTTTGCGCTACCGTTAATAAAATGATCTTTTTCAGTCTTTGAAACTTATTCAACCACCATTATATTTTTTTATTCTTTCTGCTCGTCCACGGTTGCGTTTTTCTATTCACAAGGTTTGTTGATTTCCTTTTTTTGATTATGTTTTGCAGCTGTCATTTCTTGTTATAAATAATTATTTTCATTTTTTATTCTGTTGTTTCTCTTATGCGATATCATTTTTGTATAAGCGTATTAGTGGCTTAATGGTCACTGAAAAATTATCACAAGTATGGATATTGTACTTTGAAGAGACAAGGTAGGACTCTCGAGTTTGTTTAGATTGATACTGAAACAATTTAAATACATATATACCTTATTTACTTGGTTTGATCCAATATGTTAATTGGTATATATATATTATATATATATCATATATTATATTATATATATATATTGTATGCTTGTAAATGACCCTGTATATACCATATATGTATATATCATATTTATCGTTGCTTGTTACTGTCGTTGTTTATATTGTATGCTGTAAATACCCTGTATATACCATATATGTATATATCATATTTATCGTTGCTGTTACTGGTCGTTGTTGCCATTTCTCTCTTGTGCCCTTTTATTTTTTGTTAGGGCGTTACAAAACAAAATATTTCGGTGTTTTCTTTTTTTCAACGTGTTTTCTTTTTTTTAGTGTGTTTCATTTTTTTAATTTTTCTTTCAGTGTTTCCTTTTTTCGTAAATCCTTTATTTGTGTTTTCTTTTTTTCGGTGTTTCTTTTTTAGCGTCTCTCTTGTAAGATTGCTTTTGGTATTGTTTAAATTTTTTTGACCAAAATTATTATTATCTTAATTTGTATTCTTTTTTTAACATTTTGTTAAAAATTGAAACCTAACATTTGTTAAATTGCCCCCTTCTTCTTTGAAAAAAAAAAACCTAATTACTAGCTAAAAAAAAAAAAAACTAAATATCAACTACAAGGCTTTTTAAGGAAAGAGCCCACGGACAACTCTTATGATGGACTCAGACCGAGCCCAAGCCCAACTCTTTTTGGACAGAAGCACAAAGTATAAGTCGGCGAACTAGACCTGATTATGGAGTGAGCTTGGATCGGGTTTTTTAATACCCATATCCGACCAGCCAATTAAAATTAATTTAGTCCGTTATCCGCCTCGCATGTTCGTCAAATCGGGTCGGATCGAATACCCGCCATTTGGCAAATGCCCAAAAAGGCAAAGTAGGTCGCCGACAAGCGTCCCACAAAAAATGGGTGCCAATATTATGCCATGGAGCAACTTGCGACAGTGGTATAAAGGTAAATAATTGAAGAGATAGAGGGTAAAATAACAATCGTCGTCCCTATTATTGCACAGTGTAGTAATTAACGAGCGAACATCAGGTGGCGGTGCTCTCTCTTTCTCTTTCGTGGGTTCTGGTTTGGGACACATCCAACACACTTCCTGTGTCGGAGACGAGAGAGAGCTGTGTCTCTGGTTGTTACTCCATTGGACTCTCTCTCTCTCTCTCTCTCTCTAAAGCTTAGGACTCTGTTTCTGTTTACTTGGACTCGCCTTAACCTACACCCGCTTTCTGCTTATCATGCGCTGCTTTGTACAGAGTTAATACGACACCAAGCAATTTTTTTTCCCCAGTTTTCTTAATCTTTCTCTGGCTTTTCAGCTTTAATGTGAGTACTAAACCCCAATTCATTTCTTTCTTTCTTGCTTTTCAACTTTCTCTTGTCTCTTCATTTCTTATTCGTTCTTCTATGTGTGTCTGATTTTGTGAACTGGGATCCATTTGTGTGTAAGTTTCTATATTTTCTCTTCTACCCAAGGTGGGTTTTACTGTGTTTTGGAGCTTGTTTGTTGAATGATTTTGCTTTTTCTTTATTAGGGTTTGCTATATGGAAACCGATCATTTTGGGGTTTAAGAACGTAGCTTTACTTGGTCTTGGTGGGATAGTTGCTTCAATTGTTTTGTTGTCGTATTTTGGGCTTTCTATTAGGCTTTGTAATTGTCGATTCTTTGTTGAGGTTTAGGCTAGTACTCTCAAATTTTGAAATTTATCCTATTGTAATATATTTTGTTCGATTGAGAGTATCATTTTTTGGTTCAGTCTTGTTTTTCATGAAGTTAAAACCTTTTTATACCCATCACATTGTGGAATGAACCTGAACAGATGAATTTATTTTCTCTTTTATCGTAGTAGGAAAGTGAGATTATAGAGATATCAAGATGGCATGGACAGACAAAGATAATGGAAATGGGAAAGAGCGGGAACCAATAGGTGATAATGGTTTGTTGAAAGGTTCACAGCCTTCTCCAAATGCAAGCAGCTCTCCTGTTGGTATAGCTGCAGCACTGAAGGGGTTTCAAGGGAAGGATGCTCTCTCTTATGCCAACATTCTTCGTTCAAGGAACAAATTTGTTGATGCTCTTGCTATTTATGAGAGTGTCTTGGAGAAAGATAATGTAAATGTTGAAGCTCACATTGGAAAAGGCATATGCCTGCAGATGCAGAACATGGGAAGGCTTGCTTTTGATAGTTTTTCTGAAGCCATCCGGCTAGATCCACAGAATGCTTGTGCCCTCACTCATTGTGGTATATTGTACAAAGATGAGGGTCGACTGGTAGAGGCTGCTGAGGTATGCTTGTGACAATTAATCCATGTTCATTATGGCAAAATATAGGCAACTAACGTGATGTTGCTTAGTATGATTAAAAGTTAGATTAAATAGAAAGCTTATAATTGTATTGTATAAGTTTTGTTTACAATGTATTGCACCTTTCTCCGCTCTATCTTAATGTCAATGTCTGCATATTGGTTCTATATACAAGTTGCATTGTTTTGAGTGACAATAAAATTATTGCTCGTGTCTGGTGCTACATAAGGATTCCTTTCATTTTATTCTCTATCTTTTACTACATTTACCCAGTTCTCTTCTGAATATAGGCTTTTTAGTTGTGCAGTTCTTTTGCAATAATGGTGAGGTTCTTTTACAAAATGGAGTTCCTATACTTGTCTAGCCTAATAGTTAGACTTTCTCACTGCCTTAATGATATGATGTTGAATAGTGGTTTAGATTTCTTATTTGCACTGTGATTAGGAATGCTAACTTGCCATGGGTGCTTCCTTGCTTGATATAGTAGAATGTTGAATGTTCACATACCTTCTAAAACATATGATTTGTTATTTTTTCAATAATATGAAAAACTTTTATTTGCCTCCATTATCATATGTCTCATTTTGGCTTCCTTCATTTTCCTGTCTTTCATCTACTCTGTAGTTAGTTTCTAGGTTTCCTTAGTAGTTCCATCTGATGCATGTGGAAATTAGATGTTGAAGGTGAAGGCAGGGATCTTTGTCATCTTGATGTGAAAACAGGTTTAGAAATTGAATTGAATTCTCATTAAAAATTGTTCCAAATGTATATATGATGCATGCGGAACTTAGATGTTGAAGGTGAAGGTAGGGAATGATGTAAGGGATCTCTGTCATCTTGATGTCAAAACAGTTTTTAGAAATTGAATTGCATTCACATATAAAAATTGTTCCAGACAAAGCGTAAATTATATATATATATATGTATGCACACACACGCAACAAGAGACTAGGTTATAAATTACAATGTTGTTTGTATTTTTGACTGTGGGAGTGTTTGTTGAGTCTAATTAAATTGAATTCCTTCAATAAAATCTAAAATGGTTTTTTTTTTTTCTGTTTGCTTCAAATCATTTCTTCCTTAGATTAAAAATTGATTCTATCATTTAGATACTCTATAAACATGAGAATTGGCAAAATATAATTGAGTTGAGTTAGATTCTTGCAAAATTTGGGCTCAAACAAGGTTATATATTGGGTGCCTCTACAGTACGATAATTTCATTTATGGGTCTCGTCTCTATAATTTACTTTGTGCTTGCCTTCTGTTCTTTATCCACTTATTTTTTCTAACTTTTAGTATTATTTCCCATAGTTATGAGGAATGCCTTACTTAAGGCTCAAGGGCTTGCGCCTCAATAGTTCTCAGGCGGGCAACTTCACTCAGGCTATCGCCTCCGGGCAGAGGCGTGTGCCTTTTTGCGCCTAGGCTCAAGAAAGGCTAGGCGCAAAAAAGGCGCTCCTTTCTTTTTTTTTTTTTGCTTTTTTGAAGAAGTCACCTAGGGTTTTCTTTCAATATAAAGCTTTCTAGGCAAATCTGCTTAGGCAAAATAAGTAAATAAATGAACAAAAGAAATAAAATGCAAGAGAAAAACCAATTATGTGCTTTGTGATCTAGCCTCCAATCCTTCGTCTAGCACTCACCTCTTGCAATCTAGTTTTTAGCCAATAGCCATTCAGACAGATATGCCTTTCTCTTCCTACACTTGCTTTTTATTTTATTTTTCCCTATTTTCTCAATTCTACCGTTTTCTATCTTAATTCTAATATCTTAAAATATAGATTGTCATGTTGCTTTTTTTTTTTCCCCTGATTTATGTGTGTTCCTTTCCATGTTTTTCTAATTTTTTTTTCATTTTTTTATAACTTAAAACGTAATTTTCAGATGTATGTGTTTAAATTATTTATTTATTTATTTATGCGCCTCATTTCACTCAGGCTCGCGCCTTCGCCTGGAGGCTATCGCCTAGGCTCTAGCAACCCTTTGCACCTTAGTGCACCTTGCGCCTTTAATTACTATGTTATTTCCTCATTTCCATTCAAGGATCTTCCTTCCTTCTTACTGCATAATCTCTTGTTTACATTTAAGTATTTTTTTTCTATTGAAAATAATTGAAGTTTGAAAGAGTGCCCAACTTTTCATGCAATTGCAGTATTCTGGTTAACCATATACTTATTGTAATGGCTGAAATGCCCAACTGTTTATGTATTTATATGCATTTAGAATGATATCTCTTGTAATTTGATGCCTTTCTCAATCACTGTCATGTTCCACTTCTGTCAAGTGTGTCCATATGTGCACTGATGCTAAATAGCAAAAGTAGCTAGTTTTGTATTTTCATTATTATTAGAAAATTGCATGATAGTAAGCCTTGGCTCTTCGTCAAGTTTATTTGATGGTGATAGAATTAGCTATTCAATTTTGGTATATCCAAAATTAGCTTGGGGACTTTTAAATATAATAAGGGCATATGGCTGAAGTTGATGTTAAGACTCGGTCAACAATACTTTGTGCAGTCGTATCAGAAGGCTCTGAGAGCAGACTCTTCCTATAAACCAGCTGCGGAATGCCTAGCAATTGTCTTAACGGATATTGGTACAAGCTTAAAACTTGCTGGCAATACACAGGAGGGCATTCAGAAGTATTATGAGGCTCTTAAGATTGATCCCCATTATGCGGTAAAGTCATGTCTTTTCTTATTCGGTTAATCCAGCCCCTAAGCTTTCTGTTTATGTATGTTTATTTTTCTTGCATTCTATGGATTTATATTCTCACATTTCCACTTCTTACATGCAGCCTGCATATTATAACCTTGGTGTTGTGTATTCTGAAATGATGCAATATGACACTGCCCTAGGTTGCTATGAGAAGGCTGCATTGGAGAGGCCCATGTATGCTGAAGCTTATTGTAACATGGGTGTCATCTATAAAAACCGAGGCGATTTGGAGGCAGCCATTGCATGTTACGAAAGGTGATCTCCCAGTTTAATATTCTAAATTTATACTGATCCTTGCAAGGTGTATCTTTATAGTTCTTTACATCTGCTGATCCCCTCATTTTTCAACATTTATACTGTTTCAGGTGTCTAACTGTGTCACCTAACTTTGAGATTGCAAAGAATAATATGGCAATTGCTTTGACTGATTTAGGAACAAAGGTAGCTTTTCCATCCTATTGCTTATTATTTTAGCTTTTGCAAAGTTCTATTTTATCTTAATTTTAGTCATTTGCAGTTTTCAGAATCTTCATTTAGAAAATTTTCTTACACTTGCTGTTGGTTTTATTAATGAGATACTTGAGCTTGTGGTCTTTTCTCCAAATACTTATTTTTCTAATACTTGTTGGTAGAAATCTCTGTATTTGGATTTTAACATTTTGAGCTTCTTGCTGCTCTCCTTTACCTGATTTTGGATTCAGTGACGTGTAAATTTAGGTTAAATTGGAGGGAGACATCAATCAAGGCGTTGCATTTTACAAGAAGGCTTTGTATTACAATTGGCACTATGCTGATGCCATGTATAATCTTGGAGTTGCTTATGGTGAAATGCTGAAGTCTGACATGGTAAGTAACCCTTTAAGAGTTTGGCAATCTGTATGTTTATATTTTCTTGCAAAGCATGATGTTATTTTCTAGCAGCCTGCAAATGAAATTGAACTTGTAACTTTTTTTACTAGACAAAAATCCAAATTGCAAGTTTTAGCCAATTTTATTTCCATATTTTTTGAGGGTCCATTCATCACTTCTTAGCTAATTAATTTCTATTTGCAGGCAATTGTGTTTTATGAACTTGCTTTCCACTTCAATCCTCAATGTGCAGAGGCATGCAATAATTTGGGAGTAATATATAAAGACCGAGACAACCTTGATAAAGCTGTGGAGTGTTATCAAGTAATTCATGATATTTGTGCAGGATTTTAAGTTCTCATTTCTGATTTTCTGCCATAGCTATCATATTTACGATCGATATTATCATCATTTTGCAGATGGCTTTATCAATCAAACCAAACTTCTCTCAGTCTTTGAACAACCTTGGTGTCGTCTACACTGTTCAGGTTCAACATGAAGTCCTAGCTAAGTTTTTTAAAATGACTATATATCTGATACAGCTGCTGAGAACATTTTTTCTTTTGGCAGGGTAAAATGGATGCTGCAGCAAGTATGATTGAAAAAGCTATAATGGCAAATGCCACATATGCTGAAGCATATAATAATCTAGGTGTCTCTCTCTCTTCAACATGCCCATCCACCAGCCACACACACATACAACAGTTACACACTCCATATTCGGCATATTTAGTTGATTCTTTTTTGTGTTTTGGTGTTTAATGTGTCATCTTGTGGTCCAAAGTTGCTTTTGGTTGTTTTTGTTGTCCTTCAATTCATCTGAGTTTAAATCAACTTGAATAATTCTGTTCCTTGCCCCATTTTTCTTACTTTTTCCTTAAATGTATTTCTGCATATCTTCTGTTTGTAGGGGTCCTCTACAGAGATGCTGGCAATATAGCAATGTCTATTAATGCTTATGAGCAATGCCTTAAGATAGATCCCGATTCTCGCAATGCAGGCCAGGTACTTTAATTCTTCTTATAAATTTTTCTGGTCAAGTGTTTCTTCTGTTCTGTGCGGAGTCCAGTTTCGCGATTGACTTTTAGTTCATTGCTGAGCTAGCTTTATTTAACAATATTATTTTCCAGATGTTGGCCAGACAGTTACATAAAGAACTTTGGATTTGACTTATGACAATGCTATAATGATAAATATTGAGTGGAAGTTAAGAGGCGAATTTTTTTTCCCCTTTGGTTTGAGCAAGAATCTTATCTATTTTCAGAAATAACTGAGGAAAAAGCAATGGAGCTTTTAGTATTCAGTTGACTAGATTTGTAACATATATGTGCTCAACATTTGTTGAAAGGCTTAACAGTAAAAGATATGCCAAATGGTTTTCTTTCGGTAAATAAATGATCAATTGGCTTAATTAACTTGTCTCTTCCACATGTTCATTGCCTTTGAAAATTTTTAATATCTAGATACATCTTAGGGGTTGGCACAATTTATACAAACACTGTATATTTGCTTTCTCTGCTGTTAATGTTTCTGTTGTATGGTTGTCGGATCCTCTCTTTGGTATCAATGCTGCCTCTTATGTATATTTATGAACTTGCTTTTGCAGAATCGGCTGCTTGCTATGAACTACATAAATGAGGGGCATGATGATAAGCTTTTTGACGCTCACAGGTTTCATTTAACTTTAAGGAGATTGGCGTGCCTTTATCTCTCTTTCTTTTTTCTTTTTTTTTTTGACGTAAAATGAAAATTTTAATGAGTTCATCCTTCTTATACAGCTATTAGTATTTTAGTTGCAATTCTATTGGATTTTGCAATAAGACAATTTATTAAGGTTCCGAAGCTTAAACATTTTACACTGTTTCAATGTTGTGTGGCTATGAGCAAATACCGTTTAAGTTGACAAGAATTGATGTAGGATAACCAGTTGGAATATTGGAGAAGAAAATTATTAAAAAGGTTCACTTTTAACATGATGATTTTTTGTTATGTCTAACTTTTACCGTTAATTATTTTATATTAAACTATTACATATTATTGCCTTTGGTTTCAAATTCAAGAATAACTTTCTTCTTGTGGGGAGTCGAAAATTTTTTTCCTTGAATTTTTTTTACCCATATTTCTTGTGGGCATTTCTCCAAATTCTGCTGAAGGATCTTGATATATTTATTTCTTCTCGTTTCATGCTCTGATTTCCTTTGCTCTTTAATGCTTTTGTGCAAATGAAGATAATAATCTAATATGAAATTCCTATATGCAGAGACTGGGGCAGGCGCTTTATGAAGTTGTATCCTCAGTACACTTCATGGGACAATCCAAACGATCCAGAGAGGCCACTTGTGATAGGATATGTATCTCCAGATTATTTTACCCATTCTGTATCTTATTTCATTGAGGCCCCTCTTGTATATCATGATTATGCAAATTACAAGGTGGCAGTTTATTCAGCAGTTGTGAAGGTAACATTTACAATTGTCTACCTGTGTTGTTTAAGGAATATTCAAGCATGTCCTATTTGTATTCCTATCCATGCCATTGTGCAAATATTGTATAATCTATGTTCCTGGTTCAAATGGCTAGAGAAAAGTCTTAATCCATAAGATGAATTTTCAGTAAGGTGTTGGGATGCTTACACTTGATTTCTTAGTTATTTAATATTTGGGATGGTGCCAGAATGTTGCACTCTATCCCTCGGTACTCATTTTTTTGTATCATGGCATAGTGATGCTCATAAGAATTAAATGGAACTGTTTTACCTGACTGTGGAAAGGATTATTTTTTTGTTTTTGGAATTTCGGATTTACGTTTGTGATGATTTATCAGGCTGATGCAAAGACTAATAGGTTTAGGGAGAAAGTCCTAAAAAACGGTGGCATATGGCGGGATATATATGGGATTGATGAAAAGAATGTGGCGAACATGGTTAGAGAAGATAAAGTTGATATCTTGGTGGAACTTACTGGACATACAGCTAACAATAAGTTGGGAATGATGGCATGCAGACCAGCACCAGTTCAGGTATTCATTAGGTTATTAATTTTGGGTTTTAGTTTGGTTTCTTTTCATGTAAGATACTTTTACGATGTTATGTGCAAAATAAATCATGGGGGAAAAGAACATTGTAAAAATTATCTTAGATAAAATTAATATGCAATATCAGAACTGTTTATTCCTAGTATCAAATTTATGCAAGCAATTATGGTGCTTCGAAATCGATTTCTTTTAATCTCAATCATTCTGGCTTTTCATAACTTGGCACAGAATGAAGTACTGCCTTGCAATGTAGTTGGCTTCTTTTCTGAGTAGCCATAGTTTTGAAATTTTATGGAGCTTGAAAAGGTCAATTATCCATATATTTCAGACCTCTTTGTTGCAAGATAATCCTCCTGGTTTTGTCTTTGTCGCGAGTACAGATACATATGCTGCCTATTTGCTTGAACATCCTGTATTGATGTTCTCTTCATGCAAATGTAATTTCAGCATAATTTGCATTAATAGTTAGTTATAATATTTGAGCAGTGATCCCATGAGCTTCTAAGAATATGTATGAGCTAAAAGTATTCCAGAAAACATAAGCCCAAAATTATATAAAAAGCAAATGATTAGTGGCCAATCTTAGTAGTTAATAACAATGCATCAGAATCCTATTCGCTGTGTGTCTCATACGGTTTCTACCAGTATTGAAATTATTTATAGGAAATTATTTTATTTTATGCATTATTTAATGCAATGTTGTATGTTTGAACAGAACTGGTTGTCCATTTCTGACCATATTTTTGGTTTACTTTTAATTTAGGTGACTTGGATTGGCTACCCAAATACAACTGGTTTGCCTACCATTGATTATAGAATCACTGATTCACTGGCTGACCCTCCAGATACAAAGCAAAAGTAGGCTTCTATAACTTTCCTGCTTGGCGTTTTTGGATGATATCTACCATATACTTTAGTTTCATGTTTTCTACTTCCAATGGCAGGCATGTTGAGGAGTTAGTTCGACTACCGGAATGTTTCCTTTGTTATACTCCATCCCCAGAAGCTGGAACTGTTTCTCCTACTCCTGCACTTGCTAATGGCTTTGTTACCTTTGGTAGCTTTAATAATCTGGCAAAGGTATCAATTAGTTTTGTAATTAAATGAGCACAAAGTTGTTTGTTACAATGATAAACCATATCTGTTCAAATTGTTAGGATGTGTCTAATCTTACTTCTTGCCTTCTTGCTATTCTTTTTTATCCAGATAACTCCTACAGTTTTGCAAGTTTGGGCTAGGATACTTTGTGCTGTACCAAACTCTCGCCTTGTGGTAAAGTGCAAGCCATTCTGTTGTGATAGTGTTAGACAGAGATTCCTTAAAATGTTAGAGGATCTGGGGTTAGAATCATTGCGTGTTGATCTCTTGCCATTAATTCTTCTCAACCATGATCATATGCAAGCATATTCTCTCATGGATATTAGGTAATATAGTCAGTACTGCTACCATCTTTTGTTTCTTTCTAATAAAGGTTCAGAAAAGCCATATATTCTCCCCGTGTTGTTGATTAGTTTTCTGTAATCATTTTACTGTCTATGTTTTTATACCTATGGTTGGGCTCTCTCCTTTTTATTATGGCCTAAGTGGGCATGCAGCTGACGTATGTGCTTGTGAGCTGTGTTTGCAGCTTGTTTGCAATTTCTTTGACTTGAATTGCTGCAACTCTTGAGGAATCTAAGATGGAGAACTATGTAGTGCTTAACTACTTTATACAATTTTTTTCAAGTACCTTAGTATCTCTTAGTTGTTTTTCCTGATCAAGTTCTCCAACCTAGGCTGGTGAAAATAACAAAGATAGTCACTGGTTAGAACTATTACTGATGTTAAGATATTCTTGTATTTTAAAGGTTGGTTAGGTTGGATGGATAGGCTGATTTTTAAATGTAAGCCCCATTTCATGGCTGATGCGCAAATTTCTGAATATGCTCTATTTTGGTATTTGTTTTTAAGTCTACATGATAGTTTTCTAATTCAATCTGGATCTTCTAAGTAGACCAAGTATAAAGCAAGTAGTCTTCTTAATATTTTATCTGCCACTTGTATTTAAGTCAGAATGAAGAGTAGGCACGTGATGGATTTGAATCTGCTAGCTTCCTTTTTTTTTTTTTTTTCTCTGAATATCAGATCGTCTGGCGTTCTTGTCGAAAAGGTGCTCTAAATTTATGCTTGAAATTCTGGATAAAGATAATGATTTTCAGAATCTACGATGGTTTTATATATATGAAATGGATCAGTATCACCCCCATTTTTTGCGAATAATTCACATTACTAGGATGAGCATATTGTTTTGCATGGTTGTTTTAGTGTCATGTGAATCTTCTTCAGGCGTTCTAACTTTGTATTATTCATGTAGCTTGGATACTTTTCCGTATGCTGGAACAACGACAACATGTGAATCTCTTTACATGGGAGTTCCATGTGTTACCATGGCTGGTGCAGTACATGCTCACAACGTTGGTGTGAGTCTTCTTAGCAACGTTGGTGAGGAGCCTTCTTCTTCTTCTTCTTTTTCTTTTCATATTTTTATGTCTACCAAAGTTATTGTTGGTTTTATGCCTTCAACTGAATTTTGTGCACTTCCTCTTGGTGTCTGTTCATATCTAAAATATATGAAAATGTCTGCGTATATGCTCCATTATATGCTGCATTTGTGCCGTATGAAACATTGGTGAAAGAAGTATATGACATTCACTGCATGTTTTCAAGATATAATTCTTAACACCTACCCCCATCTGTTGTAATAAATAAACTTGTAGAATAAAATAAACTAAAATTAAAAGAGCAGAGCAGCATAATGTGGTGTGCCATAATGAGATATCCAATTGGTTTTGTCTGTTGTTTTTCCTTTTCTTTCACTATGATTCTTAGGCGTATTTTAATTTTATCCTCTTAAATTAATGTGAACTTGTCTGCCTGTCTTTGCAGGGCTGGGGCATCTGATTGCCAAAAATGAAGATGAATATGTCCAGTTGGCATTGCAGCTTGCATCAGACATACCAGCTCTATCAAATTTGAGGATGAGTCTCAGGGACCTTATGTCGAAGTCTCCTGTATTTGATGGACCCAATTTTACACTTGGTTTGGAGTCTGCATATCGGAACATGTGGAAAAGATACTGTAACGGTGATGTGCCGTCTTTAAAGCGCATAGAACTGCTGCAAGAGCAAGGTGTTTCTGAGGCAGGAGTAATCAAAAGCTCTGAGCCTACTAGCATCACATTCTCAGTTGAGGACTCTCCTGAATCTATCAAGGTGAATGGGTATACTGAGGTTTCATCATCAATGGTGAATCACTCTTCTGAAGAAAATGGAAGCCAGAGTCAGTCGAGTACTACTACTCATACTACAAATTCAAACAAAGTAAGCTGAAATTGAATCAGGTCTTGGCAGTCATGTAAGGCGTGTGGAGAGACTTGCTTGCAGTGTATACATACCTGGTAGACAGAACCTGCTGTGTGTATAATATGTGGCTGTATCCTGCAGAGTTAAAAGCCATTATTTACCATGGTTACAGCCCAATATTTCCTATTATAGGATCAATTTTTTTTGGAAGAGTTCTGGCAGTAATTGGTATTTGGAAATTTTTCATGCCAGAATCATAGCAAATTGGGAAGAGATTTGTGAACTGTTACAATTAGGTACCTGTATCACAATTTTTCCCCCCGGATCATAGAGGTTAGCGGTGGCTTGTAAATTGTAAGGAGAGTTTTAGTAGTTTTGTTTTCCTCCTTTCTTTTGTGATTTCTAAGTGGCTTGGGCGGATAGCCAGAGAAGGGTGTCAAATGATTTAGTTTACGTATGAATTGGAGTCTGCTCTCATTAACAGTGAATATGATGAAATGGAGCAAAAATATTTATCGCATGATCTACCGATTTAGGTGCTTCTCTTTGCCATTTGGTGCCTTTCTTTTTATCTCTCTTCCATTTGTCATCGTTTATGCTCAGCGTGGTGCCTAAAACTGTCTGAGATTCGAGCACTTGCCTATGGTATACTGGAAGAAAATTATAAATTTAGAAAAACTTCCATAAACTTTTTGTAAAATTCATTATTATTAAGTGGTTTTTAGAGGAGCTAAAAATAGGAAAAGGGAAAGAAAATCTTCCTTAATCTAATCTGGGACTGGGGATCCTATTTCTTAAATTGGAAGAGTGCGATAATTAATAAAACACAAAACTGCACGGTGGACAACTTTTTTGGCAGTAACATCAGCAGGAAGCATTTTGTGGAGGAAAATAATATGAAGTACACAATCTGGAAAAGTCCAGATGATTCCCTCCATTGTTCCTCTTCTGCCTAAAAATGCAATACAAGTACCATTACATATATCAATCCTGTTTCTCAATACAAGTGTACTCAACGAAAGCTTTGCTAGAGGTTTGCACATGTTCGAAATAGAATGTCTGCCCTCAGAGAACCCTCCAACATTAATCTTTGACTGATGTCCGTAATATCTTCACATCATGAATAGGCCTGTAGGAACAAAATAAAAATGGTTTGGTTCAACATTGAATCGAATTATAAAGCAAAGTAAAATGCAAATCTTTTGACTATGAATGCATCTTGATACCAATACCAAGAAATCTTGTTAAAAAATATATTTGAATGGCTTTAGGGTTCACTTGGATAGATATTTAAAATGTTGTGCAGATTTAAATTTGAGTTAAAAATGTAAGATCATAAAAATAAGCATAGTGTCAATTCCAGGTACTCAATATTTCAAATGACTAGTTATCTGAATAGACTTTAAAAGAATATCTCATGATCTATTGTCACTTCTGTTCCAATTATTATAATGATATAAAGCATTTTGCATTTCACAAAGTCCATTAGCTCTAAACCAGAGCCTTCTATCAAAAGCAAGGCTTACCTATCATTGTTGTCAGTTTGGACGCTACCAAGCCTTTTGATCACTTCCATTCCTCTACATACTCTACCGAAAATTGTATGTTTTCCTGGAAGATGGTAGGTCAGAAGATGTGTTAACAACATAATGGAATATACAAATCCATGCAGAAATAAACAGAAATTCGGGCAACTCAATCAAGGTGAGGAGAAAGAGGAAGCTTTGTAATCACAAAATTCTATCTCGAAGAACCTCCTTTTGCATTTTAGTTTTTAAGTTATTTGACCTCATAATTTATCAGAGCTTAACTGCACGTCCTTACAGATACTATTGTTTAATTTCTATGATCCTTGCTTGCTGTGATGGGTTTTTATAGTTCCGGTTTTCAACTCGAGAAAAGCTTTCAAATCAGTAAGCACCAAAATTTGATCCAAATTGGATGAAAGGATTTGCTTCAACCCGCAATATGCAACCAATATCCTAAGAGTTTGACCATGCAAATATGGAGAACATGGTTCCACCTTTCACAATGACCTAAATCTGTAAATGATATTCAATCTTTTCCACAATTTCAAAATTATTCACATATCAAGTTGCTACGAAAATTTCAGCCAAATATAATGCAATGCACATGTTTCAACTCCTTTTGACAACTGAAGATGGTGTTTCAAAAAGAACTCGATGAAACAACCATTATCATTATGACATACAAGTAGGAAAAATGCAATTACCATCTAGAGAAGGAGCTGGGGCCAAAGTGATGAAGAATTGGCTTCCATTGGTATTCGGACCAGCATTTGCCATGGATATAATTCCAGCTCCTGTATGCTTCAACTCAGGCCTTATCTCATCCTCAAACTTTGATCTGAAACACATCCATTAAGAAGAAAGAAAGAAAAAAAAAACTCATAACCAGAAAACAGCTTTCTCCAATAGCAAACAAAGACCTACAAAATAAAGCAACAAACAAACTAAAAAACAACCAAGGGTACCGTTCTCTGAGCAGTTTCGTGGCTACAATCAACTATAAAAATTCAACTTTCAAATTTAAGCAGAAACTAACCCATATATGGACTCTCCTCCTCTTCCAGTTCCTGTTGGATCTCCTCCTTGCACTATAAAATCCTACACCAGAATCAACACACAATTTCATTATTACTAAACATCATAAACAGAAAAAAAAAAAAAAAAATTAGCTGCAACAATGAAATAAGTTTGTTAAGTATATGATACCTTGATAATTCGGTGGAATTTCACATTATCGTAATAGTTCCTACGAGATAGTTCAAGGAAGTTTCTGCAGGTTTTTGGTGTGTGCTTGAAATACAGCTACATGAAGAAACAAAGAGAAAGGAATTAGCTTTCAAGGTTTATTTTTTTTTTTCTTTCCCTTCGTTTGCTAGAAACCGAACAGAAACTAATTCGACCAAGAAAAAAAAATCTAAAAAAACACACAAACACAGATAACAAAAGAAAAAGGTAAATACCTCAACAGTGAAAGATCCCATGGAAGTTGCTAGAGTAACCTCAGGAGCTCCACCTTCTGAACTTGCCCACATCTTTGAACACGCACTAACTAGACGTTCGTCTCTTTCACCATCGGATTTCAGCATTTTAAATAGGAGGAGGAGGAGGAGGAGGGGCGAAACGGGTCGGTTTGAATTTCTCAAATTGGGCTTTCGGGCTTACAAGTTAGCCCAAACTAATCCCAGCCCATCTTTTCTCGTCTTCCTCAGGTTCCATGGCCGTCTTCTGTGGACAGTGATAAACTCCAAATAAGAGAAAGTTCTGGTCTTTCTCAAGTACTATTGTCATTGGAATACTTTGTTTGATGAGACCAATCAGGCTTCCCAGCCCGCCAAGCGGCCGGTTTCCGGGCACGCCTGAGATGTTTGACAGTGGATTACACGGTGTGATTAGACGGGCGGTTATAATCGGTAATGGATTCGCGGGCGCAGAGAATCAGTGTCTTGGCTTGGTTCGCGCTCTTGGCCTCTCCTCTTGCTATTCGCTATACGTAATGTTCAGTTTCTTCATAGTTTCATTTCTTTATCTTTTCTCTTCTAACATTGGTAGTGATTCAGATAGCATTTGTTTATACAGCGAGTTATTAGGCCAAGAGGAGGCATTAACAGGTGGCTTCGTTGGCTTCCAGTTTCTGTACATAAAAGTGTAGACTATCTAATAAGGAGTATTTATGGAGATAATTTTAAATATGAAGGAAATGCGAATGGCCAAAAAATGGTGCCTTCTTCAACTGAAAGAACTGGTATTTATGTTCTGTAAATTTTTCTATTTTGTTTAAAGTTTGTGGAATATGACGTGGTAGGATTGGGCTTGTTCCTGTTGTTTCAGGATTGTTAGATATATTAGAAGCAGATGCCAAGCGGATTGCAAGAATGGCTCGTGATACGTTTGATGAGTACATTTTATTTTTCTTTTATTTAAGGATTTTAATTTTTTTTCTTTTTTGTGATTGTTTGCTAATATAATATTTCTAGTTATTAATGCATAAGATATATTGGTTCGATTGGATTTAGTTGTTAAAGCTTACCATGTGATCAGAGTTGTTGTAATTTTTATTTCAGGAATGGTCCACTATTGGTAGTAGCATCTGGCCGAGATACCATTTCAGTAGCAAGCTCCATAAGGCAATTAGCTCCAAAGAATGTTTTTGTTGTTCAGGTTGGAGTTTCTTCTTCTTCTTCTTCTTCCCAGATTTTCTGCAAGTATTAATAGAATACATACGGTTGGAATTTGATGAATGATGAGCATTGTTTTATAGAATTAATGCAATAAGTTAGTATTTGTTTTAGGAGGTTCATTTTCATATATGTTTTTTTTTTTTTAAATTAATTTGGTGATTGTTGGCGTTTGAACTCACAATCTCAGAGACTTTGGAGACGTCATTTTCAAATGTTTCTATCTGATACTGCTGATAATATATGTTGTCAAGTTTCTCTGTCTATTCACCTTTTGTTCCACGTGGTTATTGTATATTAACAGTTTTGATTGGAATGTCTGAACTTTTCTCTGTCCTAAATTGTTTTTTATTGAAAATACTTTGTAGATACAACATCCAAGATCACACCTGAATATGTTTGATTTAGTTATAACTCCTTGCCATGATTATTATCACTTGACTCCTGACGGTCAGAAGCAAATCCCCTGGTTTCTCAGAAGGTGGATAACTCCACATCACCCTCCTGATAGGCATGTGGTATGTAATTTGGTTGCTAAATGCTTGTTTAAATGGATTGGGAGTCCTTAACCAGGAATAAATTGGATATCCATGTTAATCTATTTCTATAAAGCTCATAGTTTTGCCTTTTTGATTCTCAGTTTCTTACTGTGGGAGCTCTTCATCAGGCTGATTCTCCTGCACTGAGAAGTGCAGCTTCTCTTTGGCATGATGAGTTGGCGCGGCTTCTGAAGCCCGTGCTTGTTGTCAACATTGGAGGGCCTACTGGTAAAATGCTGTAAACCCTATATTTTAATGGCCTTGCTGTTTCATTTTTCTTCCCAAGCTTCTTGCTTACATTGCATAAAGTATTGGCAGTTGACTAGTTGTGACATCTAAAACACATATTTGCACCTTTTAATAATAGCTGCTGCTGTAATATTCCGTGAACATTCTCAATCATGCATCTTGGACCATCTCTTATTAGATGACCTGTTGATATTCTGGAATCGTATATAAGCAGGTGAGAGAGAGTTCCAACTATTCTTAATCTTGATATATAATTTGGAAGAGGGATTTTGCCATATATTTACTTTTCCACCTTCTAGGTCTCGTTTTTTTTTTTTTAAACTGTAACTATACACAAACGCTAAATGATCGATTTGTGTGATTATTCTATTAATTGAGACTACATACATCAAAATACTTTGGAGTAATTGAGCACCACAACTTCCCCAGCTCACTATGCACGCGTGCAAAGTGGAGAGAAAATCCATTTCATTTTACTGCATGTGATGTATGCATTTGATACTTGCATTTTTGCATAGGTTTGTATTATAGGTGGTTGATGTTTCCCAAACAAAAGAACAGTGTTTGCTTATATGGAAAGTGAGAAGCACATGATAAAATGTTTGCATCGTCTTGTTGATTAAGGTTATATTATTTGTTTATTATTGCATCAATTTTCTCGTGTATAAATTAACTAAGCTTTTACATCAAACTAATTGGGGTTGATTATATGAATCTATATCTTCGATACCATTAATGTAGGTCTATCTCTTTAGAAATATCTTGTGCTATCAAGTTCTTTATAACTATACTCTCCATATCGTAAGTTAAATATTGAAGGTTTTTATGAATAGCAGTCCTGTGTACACTAGATCACTGTTATATCATATGATACTGTTATATCATGTGGTACTTTATACGAGCTTTTTGATAGCAAACTAACTTTGATCATATTGAGTTTCAAATAAATGGTTTATTACTTGCAATTGCACTGCATTTTCTTTCACCATGTGATACTTAAATTCATCCTTGTATGTAAAAGACTAATTTATTTCATAAAGCTTCTTTTCTTACTAGGCAACTGTGAGTACGGTATAGATCTTGCAAAGCAGTTAACAGATATGCTGCAGAAAGTGCTTTGGAGTTGTGGAAGTGTTAGAATATCTTTTTCTAGAAGAACCCCTGAGAAGGTAGGGTTGCTCGAAAACAGATCCTGTTATTGATTCTTTTAATGTGTGTATACTTGCTATTTGTGACACTGGTGTTTGCAGGTGTCCAAGATTTTAGGGAAAGAATTTGGTAATAATCCTAAGGTTTACATTTGGAATGGTGAAGGTATGCCATAAACTACAAGAACACATTCTCTTAGTGTAATCTGTATGGAGTAATAAACATATTTTAATGCCTACCGGTTAGGTGCAAATCCACATGTGGGGCATCTAGCTTGGGCTGATGCTTTCGTTATCACAGCTGATTCAGTAAGCATGTTGAGTGAGGCTTGTAGCACCGGGTATATTTTTGGAAGAAAATGATGGCTACTCCATTGACTATATAGAAAGTACATTAACGTTCATGTGTTCTTCTGACTTTGGTTTCTGGGTTCTAGGAAGCCTGTCTATGTTATAGGAGCTGAACGGTGCACGTGGAAGTTTGCTGACTTCCAAAAGAGATTGCAGGAACTTGGAGTGGTTAGACCATTCACTGGGAAAGAGGATGTGAGTTGCCATCTATCTCACCCTCTGATTTGCTGCTGCTTTATTAGAAGATGCTGAGTGTATTTATTCATAGAAATCTGCAATGAATAGTTTTAATTTGCTGTCTGCACTAAGGTAAGCTAAATTGCATATTATGCATCAAGAACCGAAGGTGATATCATTTTTATTGATAGATCATTACTGCTGCACACTGCAAAAAGAAATATCTGTTTCTGGCTTATGATTGCACACCATCTTATCATCGAATCGACCATCGCATACAACTTTTCAACTTTTTATAGTTTGATTTTACAGATATCTGAGACCTGGAGTTATCCTCCCTTGAATGACACTGCAGAAGCTGCTCGTCGGGTTATTAATGCGCTTGCTGAGCGTGGATGGACAATACAAGCATGATGCATTGTTTCAGCCAACATTAGGCATGAGCTATCTTTATATTACAAAGCATAGAATTGCTTCCTCTCTGAGGCAATTTTTTGCTGGTATTTCTATATTTACTGAAAGTAGTTAACTTCTAATCTAACATGTCTAACTGACACCTATGTTAAGTATTTTTCAATTCATCTTACCATACTAGTTTTTTAGTTTGGTGTCAACTAGGATCTAATGAATTCAGAGCTTTACAATGAAGTAGAAGCAGCAACGCAAATTCTTTAAAATCAATGTCATTTCTCTTTTCTTCCATTAATGGAACTTGTTGCTGTTCCATTTTCTTTGCTGTTTTTCAGTGAAGTTTTAGAATTAATGGTATCTAAAGCTTTATTCTTTATGCATTCCTGAAACTTCACATATCTTCAAAGAAAACTTTTGAAAATTTTGACAAAATTTTAGAGATTTTTCCTTTCATTTTCCTTCTACGGTTCTGAATACTAATCGGTTCGGTTTTACGAAAGTCCATCTCTGATATGGTGCTCACAACTAGCGAACTGCCGTTCAGCGTCCGGTTGAAAGTGATTATTTACGTTGACCAGTTAAAATAACGGAAAAAATTTGTTTAGACTGGGTTTATGGTCTCACTTATGAATCAAATTAATAAAATCAAAGATTCTTTAAAATGTTTCGACTTTTTTTTTTTTGATGGTTAGAGAACTATCATCCTTTCAATAAGAATCTTTCATTTTATTGCTTTGGTTTATAGGTGAACCAAACTAATAAAATCAAAGATTCTTTAAAATGTTTCGACTTTTTTTTTTTTGATGGTTAGAGAACTATCATCCTTTCAATAAGAATCTTTCATTTTATTGCTTTGGTTTATAGGTGAACCAAACTAATAAAATCAAAGATTCTTTAAAATGTTTTACGAAAGTCCATCTCTGATATGGTGCCTCACAACTACGAACTGTCCGTTCAGCGTCGGTTGAAATTGGCATTATTTACGTTTGACAGTTAAAATAACGGAAAAAAATTTCGTTTAGACTGAGTTTTTATGGTCTCACTTATGAAGCAAATTAATAAAATCAATAAAATCAAAGATTCTTTAAAATGTTTCGACTTTTTTTTTTTTGATGGTTAGAGAACTATCATCCTTTCAATAAGAATCTTTCATTTTATTGCTTTGGTTTATAGGTGAACCAAACTAATAAAATCAAAGATTCTTTAAAATGTTTCGACTTTTTTTTTTTTGATGGTTAGAGAACTATCATCCTTTCAATAAGAATCTTTCATTTTATTGCTTTGGTTTATAGGTGAACCAAACTAATAAAATCAAAGATTCTTTAAAATGTTTCGATATATTTTTTTTTAAGTGTATGGTTAGAGAAATATCATTCTTTTAATAAGAATCTTCCATTTTATCGCTTTGGTTTATAGGTGAGCCATGGACCCGATCTAGGTAAATGCGTTAACTTGATATTTTGTCGTTGGATGAAAGGAAATACCACTGCGCTTCTCATATCCCTTCGATCATCCAGACGACAAGTCCGTTTGTGAAATTGGGCTCCATGTCGTTTTGTATTGCTGATGCTTTTTTACCTTATTCATTCCGAGTCCTAGGCAAATTTTTATAGATGAATGATGTAGATTAAACATATATTATGTTCATATGACTTGCTAAGAATACTCAAAAACAATTTTTTTTTAAAAAAAAAGATTAATTACATTTGATGTCTATACTTTTAAAATTCGCTATTTTGAAAACAACAGAAAAAAAAGTTTCTACGTAGTTTAGTTGCTCAATTTAGAGAGTAATCCTACATAATTATAACAAATTAGTATTAAATTAAACTAAATTTCTTTCATTGCCGAATGAGGTTGAATCATAAATTATTACAGATGTATCACTTAGTTGTTAGTATTATTGGGTTGACTTGATTGTTTGAAGCAGGACCAACTAATCTTGATAATCTCCCAAATGGAGATGGTTAATTATCAACAACTCCTCTTTCTATCTACTTCTCTATTTAAAGTTCATTCTTCGAGTCATTTTCATCATCAAAAGCTTTGAATACAATATCTATCTCATACCCTAATCATTCTTATCAAACAAAGATGATGAAGAGCGAGTCGACTGCAATTGATGTGCCTGCTTTAGAGCCAAAAGCAAAAGCTTCTTTCATAAGAGATGAAAGGGGAAGCTATAAAAAAGGAATTGCAATAATTGACTTCTTTTTAAGGTTAGGTGCTCTAGCATGTGCTGTAGTAGCCGCAGCCACCATGGTTACTAGTGATGAGGATCTCCCTTTCTTCACTCGGTTCAACCAGTTCCAAGCTAGCTATGACGCTGTTCAAACTTTTCAGTATGTTTTCTATTAGTATTATTTCAAATCTCTAAGTCAAAAATGCAAAAAAAATCTGAAATTGCTATACTATCCATGAATGCAGGTTTTTTGTCATTGCAATGGCAATGACTGCTGGATATCTAGCTCTTTCCCTTCCATTTTCTGTAGTAGGCATTGTTCGCCCTCACGCAGCCGGACCAAGGATCCTTCTCTTTATTTTAGACACCGTAAGAAAACTATCAACTTCTTTGTATTATATGTATATATATATATATATATATATATACACACACACACACACATGACTGTACAATGTCAACGGTTGATTTCTGTTGCAGGTGTCCCTTGGCCTAAACGCCGCCGTGGCAGCTGCTGCCGCCGACACGGTTTACTTGATGCACAATGGCAATGCAACCTTAAACTGGTTCGCTATCTGCTTACAGTATACTGATTTCTGCTCGAAAGTGAGTGGGGCTGTAGTGGCGTCGTTTGTTTCAGCTGCGGTGTTGATGATGTTGGTGATTATGTCTGGTCTGGTTTTTATGAGAAGGCACTAAGAGTATGCTAATTAATGAAACATTAAAGTTTGATTATGGTTAAATGTTAATTATCACTTGTCCTCTTGGTTCTTTCTGTTGTTAATTATTAGTGTTTCTTTGTGTGATGGGAAGAAAAATAGACTCCAAAGTGCTGTATGATTAAGTAAATTTACGTGCATTAATTTATGTTTTATTTGTTTTTTCTTTTTCAATGCAAAGGCAATTGGCTGTATTTGAGTTGCGGATATATCCAACAAATATAAAAAAATTAAATAAAAGTTAGGTCCATTTATATGTCATCGTTCACTAACAAAAGAACAATTACACATTTTGTTTTAACGGTCGAAGGGTATTAGACTCGCTCTAACGGTCGAAGGGTATTAGACTCACTCTAGTGATGACACGATACATATCTAGAGTTCCTATTTTGGAGACGCTTTTAAAATAATCATTTTTTTGCCCAAAAATAAAGTAGTCTCTCGTTTACCTGTTAAACGGAGTAAAAAGATACCTTTTATAGTACCGAAAAAACTTATGCTCTAGACATAAAAAATCTCAATAAAATAAAATAAAAAATTCGAAAAGAGGAAACTAAAAAACGATGTGTAACATCCACACTAGATAAAATGCTAGCTCGAATAAGTACAAGGTAGGAGTGACACAAAGTGAAAGTAATGTACATAAAGATTAACAAACCTTAAACTAGTAAAATGCATTTTGGACTTAGAGGTGAGGCTCTGACACCAGAATAAATCGGTGTGGGCTAGGCCCAGATGAGCAATACCTGGCTAGGGTTGGAATGTTACAAGACATCTACCAATTCTATAAGAACTAAATGTATAAATTTATAGGGGAAAAAATTGGTACATGAATTATACTCAATTTAACATACGAGGACCTTTATTTTCAAAAACTAATTATGAGGTATTTAATTTATAATTTTGTTAACACGTTAGCCATTTTATAGCCTATTTTAACTGTCAATTGGCTGAGAAATTGATTCCTAAATTATGATCATAACTAACTATAAGATCCAAAGCTTACGATTTCCGTTAATATATTGGTTCTTCTCTTATGATTTCTGTTAACACTTTTGTCTCTCTTTTTTGAATGGAATAACCAAAGTGTTAATAAAATCAAAATCTAGGGATATTATAGTTAGTTTTTAAAAATAGAGGTAGTCTTTATATGCTAATTTGACTATAACTAAAGAAATAATTTATTATTTTCCCAAAATTTATCAACGTAAGTTTCAAAAAAAATTTTATGGCATTCTCAGTCTTTACTTTGACTAATTAATCAATACTTTAACTTATAAAAATGCATCTTCTAATACTTTAATTTACAAAATCATTCTATTGACTCTAATTTCTAAAATTAGATCAACTAAAAACTTATTATTAAATAGTTGAAATATATAAAAATTATTGTTCAAAAGGTTATACTAGTATAAGTCAAATTAATATTTTACATATAAAAATGAAAAATCTAAAATTTATTATTATTAGTATTAAAAAAATGTGGAACGTTATCAAAATTTATAACTTTAGAGATATAACAAGTTACTCACCAAATTAGTAGTTCTACAAAGTTATTTTAAAAAGTACATGGATGAATTATAAGATGCATCAGAAAATTTATCATTTCCCTACTTTTACATACTCTTCTTCTTAACCGATATCTAATATTTTAGGGATGTATAGTCATGAGCGTGTTCTCATATGAAAACTAGTTATTTCACTGTTAGATTAGAATTTGAATTCTGATAAATAGTTGAGTTCTAAATATAAATATTGTTTTATTTTAAATACTTATTTCAATTCAGCTAATTCAATTACTTATCTTAATTCAAACTATATATAATGTGAAATAACTCATTCTCACATGAAAAAGTGTTTATAACACCACATGCCAATATTTTAATATCAATTGCATCGTAAGATAGCTACAATTATAAGGTAAGACCTTAGAGTTCATTCTTATCAATGAATTTTTTTAAAATGAATTTTTAAAATGATCTCAGACATAAGAGAACTCTTCGTCAACTTTTAAAATGAATTTTTTGTAAAATCTATGTCAATGAGCGATAGCTCATTCTTATTAAGTCCATCTACTAATGAGTAAAATTATTATAGAAAAAACTTACCTACGCTTAATGTATAAGTTCATATATACATCAAATCAATTATAAATGATGTTTTAGTTTAAATGATAATATTTCTGATCATACACTGGAGAAAATAGACAAAACAATAACATTTTTTAACAAAATATTTTTTTTAATTGATTTAATGTATATATAACCACTAATGCACCCAAGGTAGGTAAGAAATTTCCAAGTTATCACATCAATATTGATCAAATGCCACCAGAAACTTGAGCAAGAGCAATCTCATGGTTGGTGCTTTATGCTCTTATGCACAATGGGAGAAAGCCGAATAAATATTATCTATTACAATTACTCCTATTTATAGAGTTAGCCATTTTTTAATATTTGGATTCATACTTAATTAGAAAAAACTTTAAAATATGAATTCTTATTTGTAGAAATAATTTATCTTTAAAAATAATTTAGAGGAAAAACATTTTCTAAGGAACTCATTTCCTATGGTATAAAATTGAAAGTTTAAGAATCATAAAAACTTTAATTTATAAAGCTATAAAAATAATTAGAACTATAAAAATTTCATATTTTAAAATTTTATTATTATATATGATAAATAAGTATAAAAAATTACAAATTATGGGTGTAATTCGGTGCCTAAAATGTAGGAAGAGATATACACGAAATCCAACATATCCACTGTAGTTTCCTCAAATTGGAGGGTAAACTTCAACAAGACGTTGGAAGAAAAACTACAATCTAGTTGATTTCAAAGGGACTAAAATTAAAATGTAACAAAACTTGAGGACTGTTACTAGCATTTTTTTAAAGAAAAATCTAAAATCTCAAGATAAAATTTTAATCTGATAAAATTAAAATTTAAAATTACCTTCCCCACTTCCCCCTCTCAAAAAAAAAAAAAAAAAAAAAAAGGACCTTCACCCACTTCCCTCTCAAAAAAAAAAAAAAAAAAAAAAAAAGGTTTCTTTGGCTAAGCTCATAATCTTAACATGCTTTCACAATCGTTTGCCCTCCTAAAACTTGCCATGCTGAGTTTTTGGCCCCCTCCTCCCCTATGGATGAGTTTCCATCAATTCATTTAAAATTGAATTAAAGTAAAAATTTTAAAAAAAAAAAAAAAAAAAAAAAAAGGTTTCTTTGGCTAAGCTCAAATCTTAACATGCTTTCACAACGTTTGCCCTCCTAACTTGCATGCTGAGTTTTTGCCCCCTCCTCCCCCTTGGGATGAGTATTCCATCAATTCGATTTAAATTGAATAAAGTAAAATTTTAAGATGAAAACCGAACTAAATTAAATAGTATACAGAAAAATAAGTCAAATCAAACGGATTTAGTTGGATAAGTTTTGTTCAGTTCTTAACTATCTTTGGATGAGTTTTGACTTTTATAAAACCGAACCGAACTAGAAAATTTTATTTTTTTCTATAAAACAAACCAAACCAAATGTATTAAAACCAAACCGACATGATTATCGGTTTTACCAAACTAAACTCTGCCGTAGCTATACATATGTAATAGTTCTTTATGAGAAACGGAGCTTAGCAATTGGACTAACACTGTTAAGAGAGTTCTTTTATTCTTCAACTTTCTTACAAAATTTTAAAATGAAGTCAATTCAGTTGATTATCTATTAATCAACAAATTAAGAAAAACTAGTAGACAGTATATATGTTAATCTGGAGATTCTCATCCATCCAATCCATGACCATAGAATCAGAAAAATATACTAGTTGAGTAGTTGGTATTACTTTGGTCAAGATGGAAAATGTCACACTTTTCTTCTAATTTCCTTTATTATAATAAAAAGTTCCTAAAAAAATATATATATTTTTGTCAAAATGGGAAGAGTTAACAACAACTCCTCTTAAACTCCCTTCACCAAAAATTCCTTAATTGAGTAGATAAAATAAAAGCATAGTTCAATAGCTGACAATTCTAAATGCAAACTAACTAGACTACTTCAACCAACTCCTCAACTCCATCTTATATATAAGCCTCACCCATTAAGCCCTTATCATCACAACCTTTATTTGAGTTTCTTTCTCCAATTCGAACATTTCTAGCTCATCTAATTTTCTTTACTAAAAATGTCAACTAAAATTGATATTCCTGCTGAATCAAGTGCTGCTGCTAAGGGTAAAGCACCTCTAATAGGAATGGTTTCTTCTTCTTCTTCTACCAATGAAAAAGGAGGATTCAAGAAGGGCATTGCCATACTTGACTTTCTTCTGAGGATAGGTGCTATAGTTACTGCTCTTTCTGCAGCAGGCACCATGGGAGCCAGTGGTGAAACTCTTCCTTTCTTCACTCAGTTTTTCCAATTCGAAGCTGGCTATGATGATCTTCCTGCTCTTCAGTATGTCACTCTTCACCTAAACTCTCTATATGTATTAAAAACAATATATATATTTAGAGACGAAGCCAGGAATTTATATCAAGGGACAAATGGTCAAGGAAAAAGACAAAATTCAGACAGGACCTGGATTCAAATATAGGATATATATATATATATATAATAAATTTTATATAAGAGAAGTCCATTAATTTTTTTATATATACAAATCTAAAAAGTCCACGACATGCAGGTTTTTCGTGGTTGCAATGGCAGTGGTGGGAGGGTATTTAGTGCTTTCCCTTCCCTTCTCTATTGTAACAATTATCCGCCCACACGCAGTTGGACCAAGGCTCCTCCTCCTCATTTTCGACACTGTAAGAATTTCTAATTTCTAAACTATTAAATTTTAGCAACGATTGTTATTTTTTCCTTAAAATCATTCAGTGTCGGAATCCCAGTTTCCCGACTAATATTGAAAAGTGAAAATTAATCATGTTTATTATTCAGGTGGCGCTTACTCTAAATACCTCGGCTGCTGCCGCGGCTACAGCCATAGTCTACTTGGCTCACAATGGCAACGAAGACGCGAACTGGCTTGCTATCTGCGTACAATTTGGTGATTTTTGCCAGCAAATTAGTGGGGCTGTGATAGCTGCCTTTGTTTCAGCTGTTGTGTTGGTGGTGTTGGTTATAATTTCTGGTGTGGCTCTTCGAAGGCAGAATTAATTATGCTTTGGTTTCTTTATGTTTGCTTTATTTGGTATTTGTGGCAATTGAGATGTTTGATTATGATCTTGTAATTTTATTTTAGTGGGAGAAATTGAAAAATGAAAATCATTGTGCTTTTCTGTCATTTATACGTTTATTATTATTATTTTTTTAAGTATACATCCATCCTAGTCAAGTTAAAATAGTGTTGAATTAGAAATTCAAGAGATATAGAATTGACTAATTTCATATTTGAATTTGGCTGAAATAAATACTCAACACGCTTGAATTTGGATTTATTATTTATTATAAATTTAAATTTACTAATTTCATACCTGAATTTGGCTGAAATAAATACTCAACATGCTCGAATTTGGATTAATTATTATTAAAAATTTAAATAAGTTTATATATTAGCCTTAGATAAAAAATTCTAAATATATATTTGTGCGTAGAATGTGGGGTCTTGCTAGCTCATTTTGGAAGAGCAAATAGTTTTTTTTTTTTTTTTGACATGAAAAGAGCAAATAGTTGGTTTAACCAAAAACTGGATTAAAATAAATTAATTTCATTAATTTGTTTGGATTTTAAATAATTCAATTCAATTTAAATTTGAAGTTGGATAAATTTAGATTATTTGGGTTCGGTTTTATTTATATATATTTCAAATAATTCAATTATTTTGATTTATTCTTGATTATCTATAAAATTGAGGTTCAATTTTATTTTATTTTTAATAAAATTCAGTTCATTTTCATTTTTCCGTTGGAAAAAATTGGTTATTTGGTTTTTGAAAAACAAATCAAACCAATCAATAATCATCAAAAGTATTTACATTTGTTATAAAGAAAAGAAAGGAAATCTATTTTAGCCTTAGCTTAGAAGCAGCTTGACACCAAACAAAACAAAAACAAAAAAGGGCAAGTAGCTTCCTTGATACTCTTGCTTGATTGTATGACAAAGGAGTAAATAACGAAAGCTCTACAAGGTTATCTTCGTCCTTCCAACAGTAGACAGCGAAGTGTATTCCACTGCTAGTCCCTCGTTGGCTTTTAACTGAATAATGTTTCTTCACGGTTACACGCGTTACCATTTCCCTAGCTTGGTCGCTATTGCTTTCTAACGATTTTCCCGGGAAAATAGAGCGAAAATTCTCAGGTAAGTGGGCTTAGGGTTTGTATAACGGATCGGAGAATGTCTCAGACAGGGAAATTGATGCCGAATCTGGATCAGCAGAGCACTAAGATGCTCAATCTCACAGTTCTCCAGAGAATCGATCCCTTCATCGAAGAGATTCTGATCACGGCAGCTCATGTCACTTTCTATGAGTTCAACATCGAGAGTAATCAGTGGGTGCGTTTGCTTATTCTTTGCCTACTTTTTCTGTTTGGCTGTTGAGAAAATGTAGGAAAGTTGGAAGACTCCTTGTTTTTTTAAGATTTCTGCTTCCGTTTTTAATATTTTGTTTTTAATTTGTTTCTGTCTTTTTTTTTTTTTAATAATCCTTTTTTATGTTGTAGAGTCGAAAGGACGTTGAAGGATCTTTGTTTGTTGTGAAGAGGTACTCTCTATTTGATTCTGACTGACTTTTTTTTTTGCTTGTGTCTGTGTGTGTGTGACAGAGGGTTATTTGTTATTGATGGATTTTATTTTTATTTTTGCTTAATCTATTGATCCAATTTTGGTACTTCATTGTTGAAGGAATACCCAGCCCAGATTTCAGTTCATCGTAATGAATCGAAGAAATACAGGTTTGGCTAATATGTAAATAAAATTTTCAAGAACAACTATTTTCTAAAGATGCCTGGTTGTGCTTTCATAATGCATTATTCTAAGTGTGAAGCATATTTCTAAATAGCTGATGGCATATATGCATATAGTTTGGTGGGAAATAAATGCCTATCTATTTTTTACATCATTAAATTTTTTTGATTGACAGGATGCAATCATCTCTGGATCATTTGTATTGCCAAAATGTTTATCGATGGAGATGATGTTACATATGTTTTTATTTGCGGTATCGGGTTATTGAAATATTTTATTTATATTTTTTTATAAACAGAAAACCTAGTGGAGAATCTATTGGGAGATTTCGAGTATGAAGTCCAAGTGCCTTATTTGTTGTATAGAAATGCAGCCCAAGAAGTTAATGGTATTTGGTTTTACAATTCACGTGAATGTGAGGAAGTTGCCAACCTATTTAGTAGGTATAACTCTTTTATATTTAACTGATTTAAATTGATTTTAGATGTTAACTTAGTATTTATATACTAAATGCCAAATGTTCTTGTGGATAATGGGAGAGACTTTACTGACTACGGTTATAGATTGGCCTGGTTAGAAGCTAAGAGAATTTTTCGGGGAAGATAGAAGTATGTTTAAACGTATTGGATGCAATTCATATTAATTGCATGTAAGTGTTATTAAGGCAATGGAGTCATAGTTATCAAAATCATGAAACAAATTGGATGCAATTCATATAATTGCATGTAAGTGTTGTTAAGGCAATGGAGTCAGTTTTATCAAAATCGCGAGTTGGAAGTTTACAATCCTAACTTCAAAAAACTTGCTATCTTGTTACAGAATCAGAATCAGATGAAATCATTCTAAAATCGTGTTAAAATCAGTAAAATTGGTGAAATTGGTGGAATGGGTAGAATCGGAATGATATCATAGTTTCTGTGAAATTGCGCGATTAGGCTAATCTATTTGGCAAATAATGGGCATTTAGGGTTGATTTTGATCAGGCCCAGAAGAAAAGTGTAAAACGAGAGTTTTGAGGAATAAAAAATTAGGGATTCAGTTCAATCTTCAAATCTCCTCTTCTCTCTATCGTTTCTCTGTGACTGCATCGCTATACTCCCACTCCAAAGCAGCCTACTGCAACAGTTCTCTCTCATACTTTAATGCTTGCATGCAAAAAACAATCTAAAACTTCTTGCAAGAAGTGAAAAGCAATGCAAATTGATTAAGGTTTTTTCTATTATATATTTGATCTCTTTCATTTCTACAATTCCATGCCTTTTGAGTATTGAGAACTTAACACTATCTTTTATAGTTTGATTTTGATCTAAAGTTGAGTGCTGTTTCTTGAATCTTTATTTGGTTCTTTTTTGGAGTTTTGAATCACATGTTTTGAGGGATTTGAGTAACTGAGTTTCTAATTCATATTAATTAATAACAATAAGATAATGTTGCAAACTGTTAAGCATCAAAATGTATAAGTTTCTAATTCATCATCCATGTGTTAATATCACATTCCTTTTTCTTTTTTTGTTTAATTTTAGTCAAAATATTTTTAAATATTATAGGTTTTCCATATTTTTTTTATTCTGCTAATATTCTTTATTTTGTATCCTTTCTTTTAATTAAAACTTACTCTTAAATTTAATAAAATTATTTATTTAATTATAAAATTATCATTTTAGAGTAAAACAAAAGATATGGATAGGTATTGAGTAATTGAATAGATATTTAAGTAAATTGGAAGATTTAGGTGGCTTGTATACTTTTAAGTAATGACATGTATCATTTTATTTTAGGTGGTTTGTAAAATTGTAAGCTTTTACAATTCAATTTTGCGTTTCAATTTTGTGGACTGCCCACGAATCTACCTTAAAAAGCGATTTTAACAATCTTGAATGGAGTATATTTGGGGCTTCTAATCACTCTAAGCTCAGAGAGGTTTTTATTTTTTATTTTTTTATTTTTGGAGTGGAAGCTTTAGAGAGTTGTCTACTTGTCTTGAAACCATCAATTATTGCATTAATATTAGGTGGTTGAATTTAATAGATACAATTTAACACTTCTTTTGCTACAGGATACTTAATGCATACTCAAAGGTGCCCCCAAAGCCAAAAGTACCTTCAAGCAAAAGGTAACATTTTCTTCTCTAGAATATATTGAAAATTAAAAAGAAAAAGGAAGAGAAAAGAAAATTAGATACCTCTCGAAGGCTTAGTCTCATGATATTTGAACCATAGATGCAGGTACATACACCCATTTGCTCTCACAGACATGGATTTTGCCACCTTTATTACACATTATCATATGAGTCCAAGGATAATTTATGTGGAATGTGAAAATAACTCTTAAAATTAGTTGAGAAGCATTATAGAATTTTGATCTTTGGCCCGTTTCCTTATGTTAAGCATTATTGAGAAGATTCTAAAATATAAATAATACTATTCTGGTTTATTTTTCTTTAAAAAGCAAGTAGTGATGTATCTTTAAGACTGTTTCTCTGATGTGCTTTTCTTTTCTTTTCCCTCTCAAGAATCATTTGGGTTTTTCAGATGATTATGGATTCACATTATTCCTCTGGAGTTCACTTGTCTTCGGAGCTTAACATGGAATGATTATGATTACTGAAAATTTGTCTTATGGTCTTCAATTTTCGCGATCGAACAATTTAATTGTTATTTATAACTGAAAACCGTATTTTGTTATAGTGAATTTGAGGAGCTTGAAGCAGTTCCAAGCATGTCAGTGATTGAAGGCCCCTTGGAGCCCTCGTCAACTGCCTCCGCTACCACTGATAGTCCTGAAGAGTCTTCATTTGAGAGTTTCTTTAATGTATGTGCCTCTAGCCCACCATGTTTTTGAAGATTCTTGATTTAACAACCTTTTTTTTCGCTAAAAGATTCGAGTTATTATCCTGGTGAACATATATGCAAAATGCTGCTTGCTCTATCGTTCTGGAATGTTCAGTTCAATATTTTTGGTGGTATAAACTCGTTGCAAGAATTGTATGTTTTATAATTGAAGCTGATCACTATCCTGTTGGAAGATCTTGAATGCCTAAGTATGTTGTTCTTGTTTTTATTCATTAATGTTACTGTCATTGTGTTAGCAATTTAGATTATCATTTTGAGCCAAGGATCATGTTCTTACCTTGTACCATATACTTGTCGAAGTTATATGAAGCAGTTATGGTGGTTCTGGGGACTTTTACTGAATTGGGAAGTTCTTCCATGCATTATATTGGAGACATGTATGATCCTTTTATCCATTATGAGAGTTCCCTATTGGTTTGTGTGATTTCGGGTGACCTCTTGTAGAAGTGTATAATTGTTGGAAGTAAATGTGAATCTTTTGCTGCACAGCTTCCTTTATCTAGTCAGTAAGATAGTAAAAAAACTGGCAGCATGAAATTTCAATAAATGTCATTAACAATTCAAAACTGAAATAGCTAAGTTGCAGAAAACTAGTTTATGCTTTGCAGTATGGGGGATTGCTTTAGGTTGTTTAGGATATTTACACATTTGGGATGGAACAGAACTCTGTAACAGTTTCCAGAGAAGAAAAGGAAGAAGACGAAGAAGCTCCCATATATTCTTTGTGTTTGAGATTGCATTAGTACTATCTTCAATATCTAGGAAATATTGACTGCAAGAGATTTGACACGGTGGACAGTAATGTGATAAAGCTTGATGCTTCACATCCTGTTCTGAAAAGTAACTCATGCAAGCTTTTTATAGTTGCATGCATGCTTATGATTCTGCGTTTGTGTTATCATATTATGTCCATTATGTCCCTGCCCTGAGAAGTTTCTTAACAGTTGACATTAATGTTGCAGGCGACTATGGTTATTGGAAGCAGTGCTGCTAATTTAGCAAATTCAAGACAACCCTATCATTCTACAGCCACCATCCCATTATCCACACATACACCTAATGTTGTTTCCCCTCCTTCACACAATCCACAAATACCATCCCTTCCTCTTTCATCTTTACCTCCTTCAGTAGCCATCCATGATGCTCCTGATCCAATCAGCAGTAGCAATCGAGTTACTAATCTTGTGAAGCCCTCTTTTTTTACCCCACCTTCTTCTTCATCTGCTTTGATGGCTCCACCTATCTCTTCACCTCTGCCTACTGCTCCTGCTCTTCATCCTCCCTTAAATCTGCAACGCCCCTATGGCACCCCATTGCTTCAGCCCTTTCCACCTCCCACTCCACCACCATCTCTGACTCCTAGTTCTCCTACTACTGCACCTGTTATTAATAGAGACAAAGTCCGTGATGCTCTTTTAACACTTGTTCAGGTATTTTATCTTTTCACATCTTTCTTTGCATTTCCAAATTTTGTGACTTCTTCTCCTGTTTATTGTTCTTGTATTTATTTTACACCTATAATAGTCACTGTGTTCTTTCCATTTATCCTTTCTTGAAGTGATTAAAACTTAAAATTTCAGTGCATGTGGGGTTTTTGTTATGCTTTCTTGCTCAAACCAAGCTTATTGATGCTTGCGACAGAAAATGTTTTTAATTAGAGATGCAGGTAAGGATCTTAGATGTTTTTGTAGATATGCTGTCAAGAATGAGTTGGTGGGTGGTGGTAGAATTAGAGTTCTATTAGCTTCATGCTTTACAGCTGATCAATTTGTGAAAATATTTTCTGTGCACTTATTTCAGAATTTGATGCTTATGCAGATAAAATTTGTCATTCATTTCTAGTCCTAACTTTTTGATTGGTTGCTCAGTCTATAATGTCCTGATCTCTTTGGTGTTGATGTTGTTTTTGTTTGTTTTTTTATTTTTTATTTTTTTCAAATAGTAGGAGAATATCGATAATCCATTTATCAATCGACTTGCTTTCTTTTTTAGGATGATCAATTCATCGACATGTTTTATCAAGCGCTGCTGAAGGTGCATCATTCTTGAGGTGCTGGAGATACATAGCAGCCTGACCCAAGTACAAAATGCTTGTAACATGAGTTCGATGTACAGCTCTAGTTCCATAGAAATAATGTTGGCATAACTCCCTATAGTGAGCTTGTTAATATCCATCATGCAGAAGTTACTAGGTTGAAAGGGATTTACTGTCTGGATTGGTTCAATATTGTGGTGTCTCCATTCAAATGGAATTGGAACGTTGTAATAGAAAGGAATAGAATTTTCCAGTGTCAGAGATCTAATTTTTCAGGTTCCTTAGGAGTGAGTGTACTAGTTACCAAATCTGCAAAGGGATCGAGGACGATGTGTAAGAACTGAATTTGCCTGTACTCTTATTATTATTATCATTTTCTTTTTTTGACTTTTTGTAATTTTTTATTGTTGTTAGTTCATTATTATTTTTTATTTTATTTTGAATTTTTAGAATATAAGGTGCATTGGACGAATATGATAGAAGCAGATGTTATCTTTGAATGTATGTCATGCTACATTTGATAAGCAGAAATAACTAATGGCATGGAATTGAATGAAACGAACTCAAAAGCATTTTGTTAAGTATTTTAATTAATTTAAATTTAAAATGCATCTATTTCATTATATTTCAATGAGATCAACTTTGATACTCTATACTCAGTTTGGAATTCTTGTCACATTTCAAATATGTGGTTTTCACATCTTAATAAAAATTATTCCGTCTGTTTCGTAATATTTGCCCATGTTTTCATTTTTAGATGTCTTAAAATATTTGTTCGCTTGACTTAAGAAATATTTATTTTTTCTTTATACTTCTTATTATAAATGGTTTTAAATTTTAGGAATAATTTTTTTTTTAATTTTAAAGGACAGTTTTAGAAAAGCATGGATATTTAGAATGATGTGATACTATAATTAATGTGTTTCATAAACTTTATGCAAAAGTCAACGGAATAAATATTTTGAAAAGAGAAAATATTTAATTTGTAAAATTTGTAATATAATATTTATCGTATTTCAAGTACGGGTGGTTTTTTATAAGTGATATTGAGAAAATGAGGCAATCAAATATAGTATTTTTCAATTTGTCTGATTCAATTTGACATTTCAGGATTGTCTCCTTATAAAATCACAAGAATAAATGTTGTCAGAATAGAAAAGGTTGGATTTAATTTCTCAGGTGCCTTGTTGCGATTCTACTTGATTTATTTGGCGCCTGCTAGATGGTACATTAACCATCAATTGAATAAAATTTTAAAGCTCATTTTTTGATGGGGAGGGAAGCGGAAAAAAAAAAAAAAAAAAAAAAAAAAGGGTATAAGTTGGATTAATCTTCTCAGGTGGCCTTGTTGCGAATTCTACTTGATTTATTTGTGGCCCTGCTAGATGGTAACATTAACCATCAATTTGAATAATTTTAAAGCTCATTTTTTGATGGGGAGGGAAGCGGAAAAAAAAAAAAAAAAAAAAAAACTCATAACATAATTATTAAATCTGCAATAGAAAATCGCGTTCATAAAATTCACTTTTTAATGCGGCAATCAATCTCTACAGAAGAACAAGGAGCGAACTGAACAGGGATTAGAATTTCACCCTTTAAACGAGTCGAAACAATCAAAAGACTTATTAACTCTCAAAATAAAACTCAGTAAAAACCCTTTAGCATAATGCAAGCTTAAATTCGCAAACCAGGCCCACAATAGCTCTCAAATGGAAGTTTCCCCCTATGCCAACAGTGAATCCACACAACAAATTACCCTAAGTGGATCATGAATATGTTTTGGCAGTTTAGCTTCTGAACAATAAATTTTCGAATGTAGAAAAAAGATATGAACTTGGTCCTTCTGATTTTATCGGTTTTCAGTTCAAGTTCAAAACCGAACAGACCTGTTGTCACCGCGCGCCGAAGCATAGAGATCTAGAGCCAACCCCATAACATAATAGCCAGAAAAACGCACCATACAATGATACGGTCCTCTCTCTCTCTCCGACAGCGCAGAGGAGTTGATTATGAGGCGGCAACTTAGGAGAATCGCGGCAAAAAGCAAAATCAATATCAAAGCTACTTCTCTTCGTCCTCCCCACCCTTTTCATTTGCTGGCCAGCGGCCCATAGTTATAAAAGGCTCTTCGTTTGGAGGTAATCATTCATAATATATTACGTGCATCCTTCTAACTCTGCTAGCGTCAAGTTTCTGTCAGAAATTTCATAAACCTGCAATTTAAGCACTTTTTATGTTGAAATGTCGATCCAAAACCTGGTCCTATTTCCAACTACAATTTAAACTTTCATTGATGGTTTAATTAACTTTCTCATTCAGAATTCACTTCTGTCTCAACAAATTTTCAAAGTTTTCTTCTATGTGCGGTTTCGCAAAACAATTTTCATGTGCAAATAAGATTAATCAGTTATCAATCGTGTTTTACGACCTGTTTGACCATAGCTATTAAGAAAATACAAAAATACATAAAGATGCACTCTTGAACTTTGAGGTTACTATTAGGGAGAGCCCTGAAATTACTGAATTTATTGGATAACATTACAACATTTTTTTCAACATCAGGAACAATAGTTAGTTTTAGGCTTTTTTATGCTCTTTTATTAACACTTGCACACACATTTTGATTTGATGCATGAACAATTTCTAACACGAAATCTTTCAATTTTCTTGAAAACAATAATTTTTAATAATTTTTCAACCATTAAATTATCTAAATTTGGTAAAAGTTAAAATGTTTTGTAAAATAATTTTACAAGTGTTTCAAAAATAGGTGAAATTTTTAACGTAGGTTATTAGTTAGTTCGATGTGGACAGGCAGTATATTGATTTACTCTCACATTTAGAAAATAAAGAAGAAAAAAAAAAAGTTGATGGCATTGCTTCATATAAGCTTCTTTAAGGAACGGAACCAATTTGTGTGCCACTAGGCAGTGGTGCGTTGTGAGGAAAGTGATAAACTCCTTGTGTTTTTTTGTCTTTTCATGAGCTTCCTATAATTTTCTATTTCTCTTGATTTCTCAATACTTATCGAAGCAGCAGGACCATGAACCATTGCTAACATTGAACTGTTTCTTAATAAAATTTGGCAAACATGACAATGGCATGTCCGGTTTTGTGTATTGTAGAGACCGAAGAGAAGTTTTTAACACTGGACCACTAAAATAAAAAATTGGTATAGTTTGGGAGTTGCTTTGTAGACGTATGTAACTTTTCCTTTCACTGAATGGTACGATGGTGAGAGCGTATCTTTTCTGTGCTTTGTTAGTTGCGTTTCATATATATTAGCGAAAGTTTGATATATCAAAAAACTTTGATGCATTACTCAATTATGGTGCTTTGAAGCGTATGCAGAACTTTTTTGGCACCATTGATGTATTGGATATCAGTAATCTAACCTTTGAGGTATTCATAAACTTCTAATTTGTTGCAGGACGAATCCATTTTTATAGCTACAGAGAGAATGGATTATCAGAAGCTTTTATTTCGTCAAATAATGGTCAAGTTGTTGAAGGATACCGCAGGACGGTTGCTTACAGCAATACCATGAAGCTACCTTACATAATTTAGCAATACTTTATCAACTGAAAGCAATGATTCTGTTCTTCTTTTCCCCTTTCTTTTTTTTTTTTGCCAGCTAAAATAAGTAAGACAGGACAGAGTATCTGAAAAATTTCTAATATAAGTTTTTATGGTTTTGTAACTTTTTGCATCAAGTAGAGTGAAAGCCGTTGGAAGCAAAAAAAGCTCTACTGAAGATGAATGGAATAGGTAAAATCCTAATCATCTTCTCTTCTTTACTTTTATGATTTTATATTGTGAACTTAACTAAAAACATATCTGGAAATGACAAGGTTGTGCCTTGGGCAAGACACTCTGAGAGGTGGAAGAGTTTATCTATGTGAATTGATGTCAAAGCCTAAAATACTTATGGTGGCGGAACCCAAATCGCTTAGAGGGCCTCCTGATAAACCAATCTGGAGTTGAATTATAGAGTGTAAGATTTGACATAGCACCACTTTGAAAAGAGAAGAATCATATATTAACACAACACACCAACCTCATGTTATAACGGTGGTCTCTTATCTCAACTGCTCACGAAATGGGTTATATATCAGGAAGTATTGGTACACACATGTAGATTCACAGATTTGAATGAAATAAGAAAACATGTGGATTAGACATTTAGTTTAAAAGTAAAGATGGACGGTTTCTAATGATATTTCTGAATATGGACTTTGCTAGAGGGAAGTATAGGGTGTTCACCCCTGGTAAAATTATTTTGACATAGAGCAAAGTTTTTCCCTGTTTTTATTTAATATTCAAGTTTCGTAACCTAGTCATCTCATGCTTCAAACGTTCACGTCGCATATGTATATAGTTATTTTGACCAAGTGTGATTGCCTTTATTTTGAGAAGTGTAATAATAAAATGGTTTATTTTTTACCGGTATTCGGTTGCAATAATTTGAAAAATTAACTTTTAGACTTTTAGAGGTTAAAGGTAAACGTTTTGTAAAAGTTAACCTTATAACGTTAGCTTTTAAACATTTTATGAAAAGCCAATTCAAATAGCTAAATGCTATTAAAACAGCTTAACATCTACTAAAAACATCTAATGCTGCAGAATAAGAAACGCTAGTAACGCTTATTCTAAAATTTCTGTCAGCTGTCAAAGAATAGGATGGATAATTTAGTCAGTCCGAACCAATCCCAAACAGAATAAGTCCAATTTGAATATGATCGAACTTCATAAATCTTATTACCAATCCAAATTATATTTAATAATAAACTGAAACCAAATAATATGCGGTTTTATTATTAAAAATTGCAACCCGTTTTGAATAACCGGATTGATATTTTCAATTTGTTTTAATCCAAAAACCCGATTACGAGAAAATATCCAGAATCTAAAACTGTTCAAAAATAATATGTGTTTCCTGTCTCCAGATTTTGTAGTTTGGCACTTTTAAAGCAATTATATACATATGTTTAATAAATTTATAGACAATTGTATAGAATAAAAATAAAATTAATTAATTAATCCAATAAGTCACAAGTGTCCAAATCAAAAATTCGAACGTAGTTATATCTAAAACCAACTACCCAAATAACAATTAATATAATTTAACCATAAAAGAAGCATTCGTTCAAAAGACTTTCAGTTACAAAATTACAGTTAGTAACCAATCAAAGCATGACGTTCTTTGTCAATAATCTCAAAAGTTTATACTATATTGTTTGTCAACATGTCACAAACTATAATGAATATAGTTTTGCAACTCTTGGTTTTTATTATTTAATATGGGATAAAAACGCAAAACGTTTATCAAAAAAAAAATCTGAGAAAAAAAAAAAAAAATTTTTTGAGTTTACTAATCTAGTTAATTTGGATTAACCGAGAAGATTTGGTTTCAGACTAACCGCATCATCAACTGAA